TGTTTGCACATGCATAATTGCACATTGACTGTTGACTGCTGCGCATGCTGCTCCCATGCAGCATACATTCTCTATTATATTGCTGCATTTGTTGCTGCCTAATGTGTCCTAGATTTTGTGTTACATGCATAATTGCACAATGACTCTGCTGCACATGCTGCTCCCATGCAGCATACATTCTCTTATTATATATTTTTATATTACTTGTTTATCTACTTTATATTTCACTTGTATTTTTGTGGCATTCATGTGGACGGCAAAGTAAGAATTTCATTGTACAGGGAAACACGTTTCCTGACTGTGCATATGACAAATAAACACTTTGAACACTCGATGTACAAAATGGTGAAAATGCAAAATGAATAAAAAGGCACAGTTCCACGAGGAAGTGCATGTGTTTTACAGCTAGTTTTTTTGTGGACCACAACCTGAGGACTGAGACACCTCCTCCAATGGTCTGCAGGAAAATGGAACTTTTGTTTTTGTAATTCTGATTGATGGGAGGCAAAAACAGAGCAGGTGAGAGTCTTCAGATAACGAGCATCAGCTGTTACTGGATGACACTCTCTTCAAGTCTGCGTCCTCTCTGCTAAACTCAGTACATCTTTGAGAGCGAGGGGGACCTGTCTGAACCACAACACCCCGGTGTGGACCCCCATCCTCACCTGGCAAAGCCGACAGCGTGGTTCAGGCAGTCGGCGAGGGCAGCCTGCCTCTCCTCCTCTGTCTCCTGCGGCAGTTTGGTGAGCAGCAGGCGGAAAGCGTCCATCAGCGGCGTCAACAGACTCCTCATCAATGCCCGTTTCCTCTCTACAGGACTGTCCCCGTTCACAATCAGGATGCCTGCCGTCTCAAATATGAACAGCTGGTCGTCACTGGTCAGCAGCGCTGGGAAGCCGTTTTCCTGGATGAAACAGCAGCTTCAGTGCAGAGAACTGATCTCAACATTTAAAACTGTATTTTGTGATCATTCCAGAAGAAACAGGGAAGAACTTCTGATGCCTGTTTATGGTCGTTGTTCTTTCTGTTGGTACTTACAGGGGGCGCGAGCTCCAGCAGGTCCTGGATCCTGGTCAGGATGTCCTCAATGAAGGCATTCATGTGTTTACTGTCAACAAAGAACACCGTCATCACTAACACAGTTACCAGAGACAGGTCAAGGGTCCCTCACCCTGTGGAGACATGTTTGATCCATGCTGGACATCTTGCTATCAGATAACCAATGAACTGCATTCAGACCCTCTGTACTGTAACGTGCTCCTGTTATCACTCAGTGACAGTTCAATGACTGAAGCCGGACTCACTGCAGGGTTTTGACGAATCTGGAGAACAGGTAGGCCACTCTGCTGCGGACCTTCGGGCTGTTGTGTCTCAGTCCTCGGTGGTCCAGAAACGCCATCTGACAGTGAACACATCACCAGTCACTTCGTCACTCTGAGGTTAGACCCTGAGGCACAAAAGCTCCCTGACCGTTTCTCTTTACTAAACATGTCTCTTATGTGCACATCTTATTCACAAGACACTCACCAAAACATTTGGGATGTGCTGAGGCTCCACAATGAAGAATTTATCATATCGAACGACTGTTTCAAAGAACTCCAGAGACACGGAAGTGTGCTGGTAGCTGCTGACGCCGCAGGACACCAGCTGGGAGTCACAGCAAAAACATGTGAGCTGAGAAAAGCAAAGGAAAACAGATATTTACCTGCACACTGGAGTCTTGACACTGACCGTCCTCATCATGTCCTGCAAGGCGCTCGTCTTCGCCGTGTCTCCAGAAAAATGGGCGCCGTGAGACACCGGCAGAGCCTCGCCCAGCATGTACAACAGCCTGATGGCCACCTCCACGTCCATGAATGCAGCCGTCTGCCAGCTCCTGATGATAAATAAAAACACAAACAGATAAAATTCTGGTTAGCATTACAGAAACCTGCTTGCTCAGACCTCTATGGTCCAAGCGGTGATGCATTACTTTATTTACTTTCCCCATGCTTCAGTAAAACACAAGGCTCCACTACCAATGCTGTGACATTCATCTGCTGGTCCAAGTCGCACACAGTTCTGCCTGTAAAATGTTTTAACAAGCTTTGTGTAATATTCCAAACACACTTCTGCAAACTACCCGTTTCTTGACTCAAAGTCCAAACTGATGTCAGAACATTGTTTAGGAGCCGATTATCAAAACTCAGCTGCACAGTTTTATCGTTTGCTTCCCCTGTCAGAGGCAACATTTTGAAAAGCCCACCGACTCTGACCAGGTCAAATACATTCTCCAAATGTCAAATCTGGTGCAAATCAGATACTTCGATGGCATAAACTTGGTACTGTGTCAAATCTGACAAGTCCTTCCTGACAGATGTAGTGAAAATCCAACAACAGGTAGAGGAGTAACGTGTGTTTGGATATCTGATGATCCAGCTTCAGCTCACCAGTGCATTCTCCACACAACACTGTTCATCCTGGGTTCTCCACGCTAAACCAGACGGTAGATGGCAAGTTTGTTCACATGCCACAGGTCAGCGTGTTCTCTACTGCTGTCATACCACATCTGGACAAAATCCAATGATGCTTCATTCTAGAAAGCTCAATATACACTCACCGCCACTTTATTAGGTACACCTGTACAACTGTATGCACTTCAGTACAACACGTCCACCTTAACATCTGTTTGTGAAGCTCACAATGTTTCAGCTTTTGGTGAAACTGTCAAACATATAAACTCAATTCTGTGTTTATTACTGAGGTTGCAGTTAAAGGTGGTGTTGTACTGGACTACATTATTTTATAAGGTGGAAGTGTTGCATCGAAGTGCGTACAGTTGTACCTAATAAAGTGGCAGTGAGTGTATACAATATTATTTTGCTATTCATTATATCATCCTGCCATCTAGTGTTTGAAACTGAGGGCTCCTAAGGTGTCTACTGCCATCACTTCACTGCCACAGCACCGTCATTTGTAATAACAGCGGGCTCTTACTGCATTGTGCTAGTGAAGACTCGGCGCACGGCTTCCAGCAGCAGCTCAGGAGAAACCTGAGCCAGACGATCCAGCAGCATCTTCAGCTGCTTCCTGTACTCCACAAACATGGCCTCGTCTTCACCCTGACAAACAACAACACAGCGAGATCACTTACACACATGTTCTCCAAGTGCAACAGTGTGCAGTCAGCAGTGACGATGAGGCTCACCTCGTTTTCAAAGTTATACTCATCATCATAGGTCAGCTTCTTCATGACAGCGAGCATGATCGCCTGTGGTCAAAAGGCAGAATATTCATGTTTTCACTCAGAACGTGTATCTGAGAGCCTGATTACCATTCAGAAACTCACCTCTATGTTGGTTTTCTGTTGCTCTGTCAGCTGAGGCAGCTACACAAACAAAATGAAGCGCATACGGTCAAAATGTTTCCACAACCGCAACAACTGTCTGTTCCTAAAATTAAACGTGTGAAAATCCCAGTGAATTTAAATTGCCTAAAAGCCAAACTGATGTTAGAACCTGTTGCCTGCCATGATGAGACTATTGTCAGGACATCAGGGCTCCTCAGCAATCACCTGTTTGAGGATGTGCAGGTACTCGTAGCAGAAGCCAACGATGTTGGCCGAGATGTCGTCATCCTCATGCACCAGCAACTTCAGCAGCAGCGGCACTTTAGCCTCCACGGCCTGGAGAGTCTCGGCAGCCTCCTTCACACTGCCAGCTTTGACCAGCTTTGTCCAGCTCAGCAGCAGACTCTGACCCATCCCGTTCATAAGACGAGAGAACTTGGCCAGGAAGTCCACATCGTCCTCCTGACAGGACAGGAAGAGCAGAAGCAAACTTGGAGGAAAACTACGCGACATGTGGGCATCTGGGTGTGAACAAACATGTGGCTCTGAAATGAGCCCAGACCTGCTGTGTCATATCTGCACTGACCTACAAAAACACAACAACCAGCCAGTGTCTGACCTCCTGTGCAGCCGGGTGTGTACACAAGGACACGTTTAACACCTCAGAAAGCATTTTGAGTTTATAAGAAATAGACATTCAATTAAATTTAAATACAAAAATGAAAGAAATCGTTAACAGGTAACATGCCCTCGTGGAAAATCTCTGTATGAAAATCTATGATTTTTAGTTCCATCCATTTTGTCGCACACAGAAGACGAGTAAAATATCTATTTACAGAAGTTCAGTATTTGATAAAGCTGATGTGATGCCCCTTAATGCTTAGTAGAATATACTGCTTTACTAAATGACACAGCATCAGTGATGAGGATTTTCTCTGTATGCCAAGTTATAAAGTCATTTCTTCTTCTTCAAAAAAAAAAAAAAAAAAAAAAAAAAAACAAATTTCATGTCAATTTTCCTTCCCACCTTCAGAGCCACTGCCAACTCCTACCTGCTCCACGTTGAAGAACCCAGCAGACTGCAGCACTTGGCACAGAGACTCCACCAGTTTGGTTTTATCCACAGGGTCCATTCCTTTGTTGACGATTTCAAACAGGCAGTCACAGGCCTCCTCTCGGAGCTCCTCCACAGACATCTGACTCAGCAGCAGGTTCACAAACCTGAAGACACAACACACACAACTGTTAACACAAGTTCACCGTCAGCGATGTGGACGTCATTATCCCAACGAGCAAACGGTGAGGGACGAGGAAATGCCTCAACATGCAACACCAGAGTTTAACGAGGACAGCAGGGCTACAACAGGGAGTGGCGATTTTCAAGTGCATGTGAAGTCTACTTTCTTGTGTATTTAGTACATGACTATTTTGCATGTCTTTCAATGCATCTCCATGCACTTCTAACATTCAACCCTCTTCATTCGATCCTGACACGACTTTTTCCAAACAAGTTTGTTTTTGCACATTGGTGCACGCAACTTAGGTGTGTCACTTTCATCATGCAACTTCACTGACACTGGAAAGATTGGCACACCGTGGGCTGACATTGTTTAATCAAAGTCGGGTGTGCTTCTGGAAACAAGCAATCAAACATGCTCAACTATTTGTAAATGCAACATTCAAATGGTTCTGTTACAGGACCTGAGCTGTAATTTTTATAGTAGAGGGTTTGGTCAGTGAGAAATGGTTTTGAGTTTACATTATTCTGTGCACCGTTACAGAACATCCAGTGTTTGGGGCTCTCCTGCAGCCATGACGGTGATTGTGTTGCCATGGTTTTGTCCATTAATTGATCAAAGCTAATCAAATCATTCTAAAGGTCTTCCCCCAGGGCTGTTCTCTTATGCCTGACCACTGACCGGTCGTTGGCGATGAGGTTGAGGTCGATCCAGGACACGTAAGCTCCCACCACCTCCAGACACTGGCAGGTGAGCTCTGGGTGGGACCGCTGGTATGTCTGCAGGATCTGGAACCAGGACTCCACCAGGCTGGGGATGCACTGCTCCCGCATGGTGTCTTTGATCAAAGTGTTTCTACGAGTCTCCTGAAAGAAAGACATGATGTGACTGACCCGGGTTTGCTGCTCAAGCCTCACACCGTGCAAGTAATCAGGTTTCAGAATCTAAAACTTGTCGTGATGAATTCATCAAATCGTTTTGACAGAACTGTTTCAGTGGTGACCTTCACACTTCTCAAGTAACTATGGTGAGGAATACTCCTACTATTACTGTTATTGTCAGAGAAATGGAGTAACTGTTTTTACTCAGTCCAACTCTCTTACCTGTCCACTTTCCTTTAATTTCTACCACATTTCAATATTTTTTCCCAGTAAATATCGCTGAACAGTTAACAAATCACAGGACCTCAAATTTAAAGCATTACAAGTTTCTCTCGTGTATTTATTTTAATATCTACATAGTAAAACTTTTCTTTGCAGAATATTTAAACTGCCTTCAGCATTGTTTTTTTAAAGAAAAACCTTCATGCTTTCTTTAATTTTCAGAAGATGTTAAAAAAAATGTGTCCTTCAGTAAAAAATGCTAGGTAAACCCCTGATGTTCCAGAAGCTCTAGCAGCAGCGTGAAAGCCGTCAGCAGTGACAGCATGTCTTGCCTCAGGTGTGTGCAGGATGTCTCTGTCGACCACCTCTGCGTCAATGGCCATCAGCGTCCTCAGGTAGATGTCAACGCCGTGAGGGTTCAGACCCACCAGTGACAGGATGTCAAAGAAGAACTTGGGCCACAGGGTCAGATACTCCATGATGAAGGTGAGGGCAAATACCTGAGCCGCCTTGTTCCTGATGAAGGGCTTCTCCGGCTGAGCGTTCATCAGCTGCAGTCGAGGAGAAGGGACAAGAAACGGCAGCAGTCGGCATGAGACATGGCTATAGCAACTTTTAACCAAATGACAATTTTCATTCTGTTGCATGCGTTTGTACATTTCAGACATTTTGTAACTGCACCTGTGACATTAAAATCATTAGCAAACATTTTTAACTTTCTCAGAAATAAAGGTTTTAGTCTTTCATCGGCTGTCTCGTGTCGCTGATCAATAAACAAATGGGTTCTGCTGACTGAATGGCGTTTAGCAGAAATGACAAGTTATGAAAAGAATCGTTAGTTGCAAGCTCAGCAGATATCTTCTTTTTTCACAATGAATAAATGGTGTAACCTGTGGAGGAGCAGCCTGTAGTGTGCAGTGCAATGAAATGCAGCAGAGTAGAAGTTTTAAGTGTCACAGAATGGAAACAGTCATGTGCTCAGGTCCTTCCCAGCAGGTTGGCTCATACTGTACCTGACACTGAAGCCACTTCATCAGAGTCTCTCTGATGAGCTGCTGCTGAGCTGAACTCAGACCAGCATGTCTACAGCACAAACAGCAAAACACAAGCAGGTTATGGCGGGTCAGTCAGACAAAACTAGCCGTTTTCACTGAGAACAGAACTGGCTTCAATACCTGAACTTGATCTGATGCTCCAAAACTTGGAAGCAGAAGAACTTCACATGGTCGTCACTAAAGAAATGGACGTAAAATATCGTTAAAAACATCTGAAGCAATCAAATATGAGTCTTTCTCTACCTCAGTCAGAACACAGTGCAAAGTGCCTGCTACAGTTTCATAGAGGCCAAAATGAGAGCTTCACATAACTTGTTTTATCTGACCGGAGTAGATAATTGAATCGGAAGGAGAGGACAGAGAGTCAGGACATGATATAAGACCTGGGTTGTGGAAGTGAAACTCACTTGTAGACCCCTGTAGCCAGCGCCTCTGCACACACCTCCCAGGCATCCTGGGACTCCTTCAGCTGCTCAAAGTACACCATGGCCTGAGGAAGCACACATGTACACACAGCAGCCTGACAAATCCAGCTCTTTTCATTCTGAAGTACAGTGTTTATTAATAACCATGCTCAGCTGATCTGCACACAATGCAGTCAGAGACATTACAACAAGAACATGCAGCAGTAAAACCTGACATGAAACAGTCAGAGTGAAACACAAAGCTGTGATCACACTCGTTAGGGGCCGTTCACATTTCACATCTTTTGGACGCTCAAATTCATTATTTTAAATGGAGATGTGTAACAAGTGTGCACACTAGAGAGTGTGACGCTGTTGCGGCACTCATGCATTCTGACTCGCCCGTTTTTCCATGCGCATCTATGCCATGACGAGATTTTTAAAAAATCACAACTTTTCAGAATGCAGCAAGCACACTGCAGGTCATGTGACAAGAACCAACCAATCAGCTTCATTCTTTCCATAATAACACCCAGTTCAAAGCCGAGCCAAGATGGGGACGAAGCTCTTGGATCAGCTGGTGAAATTCTCTGCGTTTTCTTTGTGCTTGAGGGATTTCTAGTGTCGGAAATCCATTTATATCCTACAGCTTCCTCGCCATCATGCAGTGCATGGCTCATGGTTGCTTAGCAATGGCAGACACCATGGGAGCAAACGTGCCTGGCATTTACAGCAAATCGATAAAGAGGTCCATCAAAGGACACGGCTAAATCACAAGCGTTAGCGCTCTTTTGTCATGTCTAGTTAAAATAAGTGACTAACATGATATATGGCTAGAAAGGTAAGAAGTTGGACTTATTTTTGTCATTCAATTAACTGAAAACATTACATGATCATTTATAGTTCAATCTTAACAGAACCTTAGCTAAGACATGTCCGTGAGAGGACACAGAGATGTTAATGTTTAGCATCTTTACGACAAAACGAGTTATTTGACTTGTTGATTAATTTGTGTCGTTGCAGGTCAATTTAGGATGCAAAACTAAAATGTGACAAGATAATAGGTTGAACATCTTGTTACATTAATGCTCCTGCTGGGTGTAAACAAACCACTGAGAAAATGACAACAGCGGACTGAGAGTGTGAAGCTGATGCATTGGAGCATCCTACCCTCTGCCTGTAAAGGGCGTCAGCGTTCGGGTTGAGCCCCAGTAGGGCCTGCTCGTCCATGACTGCAGCAACAGACTGGCAGGCCATTCGTGGGTTAGCTTTCCTCCAAGGCAGGTGCACTCCTCTCTGCTGCTGTCAGGCAGGTTCCTCTCATCTGGGGCAAGGAGAGAAGAGGCTGAGGTGAGACATCCTGAGAGCTCCCACAGCTTCTACAACAGTGGAGCTTCATTCATCATTCCTACAGTCGCAGCTAGGCATGAGCTCCAGTGGGTAAAACTGATTTGTTAAACTCCAGGGAAAACGAATCCTTAATCACATCGCCTAGTCACATCCTGTTTTGTCTCGACACTACACACACCAACAACTCAGCAACATGCAATATTTCTGAGAAGGCTGCTGTAGGAAGTCGTCATTATGTTATAAATTGAAACCTACATATGCACATATATGAAAACACTTCATGCATTTGTGTGGTCTAGTTGTAGTCCTGGCAAAACCCGAGATACAGGTCTTTAAATGTCCATCTCTGACTTATCACAGGTTTTAAAAACAACTTTCATCTCTGGTTACAAGCAACAGCTGAAATACGTTTTGTACCGAGAGAAACAGCAACTGTGCATTTTTATCTAACAGTTCACAAACTACTTTTAAAAACTTCATAATGGATTCAAAAGGGTCACATTTAATAGAACACTATCAAACCCCCTTATCACATGATCACATTAAACCACAAATGGGATGATAAAGTTTCCAAAATCAGTAGACTGTCTATGATGAATAAATGTGCAACTAACTATTAATTACACTGTCAAGTAATACACAAAGTTAATTGTTTTGAGTGGTTTTCTCTAAACTGAATACATTTGGGTTCTGGCTGGATGATCAGAAAATAAGACAATCCACACTGAACTCTGACAAACTAGATTGGGCATTTTTCAGGTTTCTCAGGTTTCTGACACTTAAAAATGTCAAATTGCAAAAATAAACTGACAGATGAGCAGATAATAAAATGAATCATTAGCAGCACTCCTGTTATGAAATATTAAAACATTTTGCTGAATGAGACATCTTCAGATGTCTTGTTAAAAGCGCCCAATGATACCAGACTATGAAAAGCAGTAAATGTTCTCATTTGGGACTGAAGTCGGCAACGTTTTGGCATCTTTCCCCAGAATTTCTGACCGAAAATTGACTGAAATTATTGAGTTATTAAAATTGCTGCCAATTATTTTTCCCATCCACCGACTAACCAGTTGCTTCAGCTCTAACTTAGTTGTGATCCCAGGACTAGCGTGTGCTGCTTGGGAACTTCAGTCAGGAGATGAAGAACCGCTACGACCTGACAGCTCTGCCCACATGATGCAACACAGCGTCAACACATTAAAGAGGCCATGGTGGTTCAAAGTGCAAAACCACGGACACATAAAACCCTCCACTGGACATACAAGTAGTTAGAGACATAAATGTCCTTGGTTTTGGGTGGGTTTTATAACAAATTAGGCGGGCCACTCCTCAAAAAAGTTCATATAGCAGCTGCCTAGCTATCAGCTGCTAACTCGAGCTAGCTTCACTTACACGAGTAGTTAGCCTCTTAGCTCGCCTGCCTGACCAATTCTGACACTGTAGCAAATAATAAAAGTCCAGTCAGTACCAAGAGGCCTGTAATAACAGCCACACTGACAGTGCAGGAGAAGTGAAAGTAGTTTGATTGTGTTTTTATCCTCGTTTATCACGACTCGGTAACGTTGACGTTACCTGCTGCTGTCTGGCTCGCCTCCTCAATCACATCATCGCTGTACAAATCTCTACATGAAAATCCCTGCCACGGCTTGTTAGCAAGCAAAGCACAGCAAAACATTCATTTCCTGTAGAACTCAGTTTATGAAACACTTAAAACAACAAATGCGTTTTCTCCCCTCTCCGTGCGTCCGGTTAACTCACCACGCAACTGATGCGAAGTCCCCAAAAATCAGTTGCATGTCGGTTACTCACACGACGGAGGTAGCGGTGCGGCGTGTCCACTCGTTTAGTATCCGGGTCACGACCATAGGAAGAGATTCATTCATACTGCAGTACAGATACATACATATTCATCATCCTAAATAACTGGATATTTATACTGTAACATTTTATATATCTAAAAGCTATAAGTAAAGCCTGTTATCGCTGGCAAATGTTTGCTTTTTGTTAACTAATGTTAGCTCACATTCACTTGGTTGAAGTTAGTGTCCGATTCGTACGAATCTTATTTCTCCAACCAGTTTTTACACCAATTATATAAACAAATTATAGACCGGTTTCTCTCTTGTCACAGTTTTCAAAAATCTTGGAAAAACTCTTTAATAACAGATTAGACACATTTATTGATAGACATAAAATCCTCTCTGACTGCCAATATGGTTTTAGGTCGAACCGATCGACATCTTTGGCCATTACCGACCTGATGGAGGACATTACAAGTGCTATGGATGAGAAGAAATACATGGTGGGAATATTTATTGACCTAAAAAAAGCATTTGACACAATCAATCATGAATTATTAATGGACAAGTTAGAAAAATATGGGATCAGAGGAATGGTTCTGAAATGGAT